TTAAATAAATAAATGGTATTTGATTTTTAAAACCAAGGAGTTTTCAATTAAAAAGATTTTAATATGACAGGAACAGTGGAAATATTCCATTCCCGATACTTTTAGTGCAGCCTATGTATATATATATATATATATATAATCGACAACAACAGTTCATCACTGTTAACATATACGATCAAACACTCCAGATTCTTTTTGATATATTCAACTGCTTTTGATAATTGATAATGTTTTATTTACAATATGTTATGTATATGTGATAATGTTTTTTTTTCATTGAATGCTTCTCCAACTGTCGCCGAATCATTACTTAAACAGAATGTTAATACCTGTTTAAAAGAATTTAGATTTGAAAAAGTATTACCGCATAATATTGTAAAATACTTCAAAACGATTGATGTAAAGAAAACCGCAGATTTGTGGGGGATTTCCGTTACAGTGATTGCGTCCATAATAGATTTAATTGCACCTCATCTTGCTATTATTTTTAATACTTGTATCGATTCTGGTGTGTTTCCTGATTTAATGAAGTATAGTAAAGTAATACCTTTATTTAAATCTGGTAGTACATTGGACCCCGCTAATTATAGACTTATTTCTGTACTACCAACTCTCAGTAAAATTTTTGAAAAAATAATTTTGGATCAATTGTTAATTTTTTTTAATACAAATAAATTACTTCATAAAAATCAATTTGGTTTTACAAGGGGTCGCTCGACGTCTGACGCCGGTGTTGAGCTTATGAAATATATTTTTAATGCCTGGGAGAATTCACAAGATGCCTTAGGTATTTTCTGTGACCTTTCCAAGGCTTTCGATTGTGTTCATCATGATACATTAATCAGGAAACTACAACATTACGGTGTAAAAAATTTGGCGCTTAAACTTATTACTTCATATTTAAGTAACAGAACTCAAAAAGTCGTCATTAATGGTAAATGTTCCTCCGGATCAGTAGTATCAATGGGCGTTCCTCAGGGCTCGATTCTTGGCCCATTCCTGTTCTTAATCTATATTAATGACTTACCTTATCTCGTAGGGGACAATCACGATATAGTATTATTTGCTGACGATACCTCTTTAATTTTCAAACTGAAACGGCAGTCAATTAAATATGACGATGTAAATAATGCTCTATCGAAACTAGTACATTGGTTTAACGCCAACAATTTGCTCTTAAACGGCAATAAGACAAAATGTATTAAATTTACAATACCTAATGTAAAACATTCGAAAACCAATGTGCTCTTAAATGGGGAGGAGTTGAGTCTTGTGGATACCACTGTTTTTCTCGGTATTACTATTGACGCGAAACTTCAATGGGGCCCCCATATATCTAAATTAGCAAGCAGACTTAGTTCTGCAGCATATGCTGTAAGAAAGATTAGAAGTCTCACAGATGTTGAGACAGCTAGGTTAGTGTATTTTAGTTACTTTCATAGCGTAATGTCTTATGGAATTTTGCTATGGGGTAATGCGACTGATATTGAAGCTATATTTGTTTTGCAAAAGAGAGCCGTACGGGCGATTTATAATCTAAATTGTAAAGAGTCCCTTAGAGAAAAATTTAAAGAAATAAACATATTAACTTTGGCATCGCAATATATTTATGAAAATGTAATGTATGTACATAAAAACATAAATAGCTTTAATAAGAATAAGGATGTTCATACCTTAAACACTAGGAACAAACATTAGCTTGTAATGCCACTTACAAGACTCCACAGAATTAGTAATTCATTTATGGGGCAATGTATACGCTTTTACAACAGAATCCCAGAACATGTTCAAAGTTTGTCAATAAACAAGTTTAAAAGTTTTATTAAAGAAAAACTATACAAAAAGGGTTATTATAATATCAAGGAATACATGAATGAAAATAACCCCTGGGAATAAGGTGATCGCCACCATGCTGGTTCTATGAAAATTCATTTAAAATTGTATAAAAAAAATTATTGTTAAGTGAAATTATGTTTAAAAAAAAAGTCCCGCTGGGTTTCTTGCTGGTTCTTCCCAGGACAGAGGTATTTTCCGAACCAGTGGTAAATAAAATAATGACTTTCAATAAGTATTATGTAATAATCCATATTGAATAAAAAAAAAAAACGCAATTTAATGTTTATTTTTAATAAATAATCGTTTTGGTATTGTTTGAAGACTTTATTTTGGTAACTATCGTTATGTTTACACGTGGTAGAGCCATGCTGCAGCTATATTAATAGTATAGTTGTAGCACGAAAGGGTCGGCTCGACCGGGGAAGGACCACGCTCTCACAGAATACCAGCGTAAAATAGCAGTTTAATGCTGCTGTGTTCCGTATAGTGAGTGTAAAGAACCGGAAACCCTTTTTACTGGAAAAGAAGCATTCTATCTTAGTCCTCACGGCTGACAACGCATCTGCATTTTAATTCGCAAACGAAGATAGATGCAGATGTCAATGGGCCACAGCAACCACTTACCATCAGGTGGACTGTGTGCTCGTTTGTCATCCTAATTCTATAAAAAAAAATGTTTACAAACCATATTAATTAGAGAATTTAAAACCTACTTGTTTAGCGATGGATAAAATAGTACCCTTTATAACAGGCTGATGTTTATTAAGTCCCATGATCATTACAACTAAGTAGGTGTAGCCTATCAATTACATTGTACTTGAATAATAATGTTATTAAATTAATTATTTTTTTGCACCTGTAAATGAATTGTTGAATGTTTGATTGATGATTCACATCTTAATCTTACATCAGAATTGAAAAGCGGATAATACCATTACATAAATATTTAATATATTATTTTATATCTATCTATATGGAATATCTTTTAAGTTGCTCTCATAGACGAGGAAATTGTAAAAATATTTTCATTATGTCAAAACCGATTCGCCATTTTATACCAGTAAAGACATTTGTAAGATTACTAAATAGCAGAGGAGGCAAGGGATGCTCAAAACGAAAGTTTATCACCCAAATTGGCGATATTATGCTATATCAAATATAAACATAGGTACATGTACGCTACGCATGTAGTCCAATTTGGGGTATACAGAATCCAAAGACAAGCTAATAACTCAGAAAACGTTTAGCTAAAAAAGGGTATAGATGAAAAGTTGCGAAAAAAGTGATAGGTAGCTATCCATCGCCTACACAATCACAACCCGAATTTCCCATTAGTCATTAGCCTTCTACGACATGCTAGGCAAGTAGCACGGTTGGCACATTTTTTGTTAAAGCCTTACATTGGACTAAGTATAATAAATTAAGATTAGGTACTTTACTGACGAACGTGTACATACGCGTAGATATATATGTATATTGACGTAAAATAAGCGAGAGAGGTGTGTCAGAATAGTGCCAAATGGATCTTGCGTATTGCTGCCTAACCCTTCTAGTTGACAGAGAGTGTTTATGTGAATTATATAATGAAATAATAGTGCAATATGTTTTGTTTTAAATTATCTCTACAACAAAACTACCAACAAATATTCTAACAAGAATAATACAAGCGCTTGATTTGCGAACGACGCTTATTGCTCGTGTCAACAATGCTGCCCGGCTTTAAACGAAAGGCATATTCCACAATACGCTTAATGGAACGGTCGTCAGAGCGCAGATTTTGCAGGCCACGCGGGCGCCAGCGTGACGTATGCACTCCGCCTACATTCCAACACAAGCATAATGTTATCTACATCGCAAAACGAAATGACGTGCAAGTATTATTATTTAAATTACACTACTCACGCCGGCAGGTCTGAATCGATTTATTAACTTGATATTCTCGTTCCGTGTTCCATCACGATGTCCTTGTATTGATTTTACGAGGGAAGACATCGAGTCCATGGAATTATAATGTAGGTACTTTAGGCAGTAAATTTCCAGCAATAGATTTATTCTGTACTCAATGTACTGCTTTCAACGGTGTTCTGTTTTCCAAAACAAATCCATACCTACATAATTATATTGCCCTCCCATAACACCCCTACAGTGACCGGTTCAGGGTTAGCCATTAGAGATTTGATCGATCGATCTAAATAACAACAGACCTAACTGACAAAATTTTTCAGGTGAATTATTCAGCCTCTGTAATACGATATAATAGTTAAACAAACATTAAACTTTTATAAGTCTTAAGAGTAAGGAAGTGAATTGTAGGCAACATAATATGTTTGAACGAGAAATTGTACGCGTGAGATAGGTAAAAAAGAAAACAAAATTGAAGATATAAGTACTTTCATAATAAATATTTTTAAATACTAATTTGTTGACTGTGATGTTAGCATTATTGTCATTGAACAACAATTGATATTAAAATGTTTTTTCAGGCGCAGTTAATGCAAGTGTATAAACATTAAACACAATCTGATTCTAACATTTTAAGCAAATATTCGATTCAGGTGAACATACAGCCGTTTTGTTTAAGTGTGAGTGATCGCACACACAAACATAATCCACACATTCACAGCGTTGTAATACGTTCACGCAAGGGGACGGTGAAGGGTGCGCGGGCGGAGCATCGACGGCGACGGCTGTTAACCTTCCTATAAAACACTGCGCTGCCATCTGCAAGTTTCAATAGATAACTTGAGCTCTGAAGAAATAGATACGCGCTGCCAACATTTTCGTGTGTTGAGCAAGCCTGAAGAATTCTTGAATGTTGTGTAGCACTCTTGCATGATAGCGGCGCGAAATAAATATCTGAATGAAAACGAACAAGTTTCCCTTTATTTACAATTCGGCAATAAAATAAACTGTGCCATATCGCAACTGTTGTGTACGTTCGGTTTCCGGAATAACCTGAAGCTACACATCCTCCAGTTAACACGGGCGAGTGATGTGTACAGTTAATACCTAAGTGATTTCTCGCGAATCTGGATTATAAAGAACTTTTAAATTTAAGAAAAGAAACTGTTGTATCAAGTGTTATATTTTATAGACATTATCACTTTGACGTTCCCTGATATTTTTAAGACTACTGCATTCCAGTTTATTGTATTGTGGTCAAGATGAGCTTCAATAAGAACAACCCCAACGCGATGGGGAAAATCATGGGATATCTGAAGCAGCTCTCCACTGAAATGGTAAGTTTGAACGCTATGCTTAATGTTCTGCATTAAATGGTATTCAGAACAAATTGTCATAGAATATTTATTTAATTTTATTGTAAGTTGTTAAAACTATGGACGATAACATGGTGTTTTGAAAAACTCCGTTTCATGCATTTATTTAAACTCGGATAACTCTGGAAGGGACGCGGTAAACTACGCAAAGCGACCGGCACAGACGGTCGATGCTATCTGTTGCTCGGCAACCACTATCAGTTTTAGTTCTTACCACATGCTTTTGTTTATATTTCATTAAGTTATCAAACAGTTAAAATCTGTAACTCAATAAAGGTGGCAAATCATGAATAATATTTAAACGATGCCTTCAAGCAAGGCCGTACAAGGTCGGCAAGTTTGTAAATGCTGCTACTGTCTACTTACTGTACAATTATTACTTTCATTTTATACGCGTCGCTATTTTTATATCTATAGTTTGCCAATACTCATCAAACAAGATATAAGTCAAGTATATTAAGGGATATTTTATGACATGGAATTTTTACTCTATAAAATTTATGTAGAACTCTCCAATTATAGTAGAAAATATGAAGGAAACTTAGAAAATGTAAATTCTTTCATAAATTTGAAATGCCTTTTGCCCAGTAGTGCCATCTAACGTAAAATTTATATACTTTCATACCAAATAAATTTAACAAGTTGCGTCCTCTACAATCATGAACAGTTTAGTATTTACGGGATAGATGGCACTACTTGTACTTAATGTATGCTTTATTTATAAGTAATTCCTAAAGCTCCATAGTAAATACGTACTTTAAAGTAATTTTATTATACTTATGTATCAGTAAATATGAAGCTTGGAGGATTAGAAAGATACGAAGCAAATTTATTATTTATAAGATCTATCATAAATTTATCTACTCTAGAACTTACAAAGGTATCAGACTGATGTTAACTGCGCGTTTGTCGATGACAAATTGTCGTATTTAAGTTTGAAGCCAAGGCTGTGCTTGTTAACAGTGCTTAAATTTTAAATATTTATTACAATATAACATACTTGAAATAAAATAATAGTAACTTACTACACATTACTTATTAAAAATAATTAGATAATTACTAAACAATTGAAGATTCTGTTTACGTTAACAATTTTGTCAACTCTCTTGAGTGATGGCGGCTTGCAAGGATCCCATCCACCTGTCTCAACATCTCGACACGAGTAGACTAATAGCAGGAAAAGGAATTAATTATCTAGGCGGTGTATATAATCTAGGACTAAAATATGTCTATATTTTCGAGGGAACATCTTCAGTGATTACATACATATACGGCGTATTTTCCTTAACGTCATCGATTTGCATATTCTAGCTCTAGAAAGTTCTGATTCTATCGTCAACTTTTTTGAGACACTAATTTTATTTTGGTACTCGTCATAGGCTAATATTACGAAGATCACAACGACGTGGTGGTTTCTATTACGCAGTGTCCACACAGCATTTAAAAGCATTTAAGAAAATTAAGAGATTAACAAATTATCTTTATATTTATACGTGGTAGAGCCATGCTGCAGCTATATCAATAGTAGTTGTAGCACGAATGAGTTGGCTCGACCGGGGAAGGACCACGCTCTCACACAATACCAGCGTAAACTACCAACTTAACGCTACTGTTTCGTTTGGTGAGTGAAGGAACCGGAGACCCCTTTTTACTGGAAACGACGCATTCTATCTTGGTACTCACTACGCATCTGCGTTTTGATTCGTAGTCGAGGATGAATGTAGATGTCTATGGGCCACAGCAACTACTTACCATCCGGTGGACTGTGTGCTTGTCACCATTATTCTATAAAAACATACCATTTCTTTGTACGAAATACACGAGATCCTGAGAATTTGAATAACCGTACAATAAAACAATCAGATTTTTGAAAATAAAAAAGTAAAAGTAAAACCTATACAGTCTGATTTAAAAAAAGCTATAATATTTATATGAAAATATTTCGGATGTTGTATTCTATACTGTCACGAGTAAACAAAATGTACAGTATTTGCGTAACATTAATTGCGTTATGCATAATTATCATGTCAATAATTTTATCAACAAGCAAATATAACAATTCCAAGAAATATGTGAAGTAGTAGTTTTCATGTACGATGATAAGCTTTTTCCTTACATGATAACACAAAAATGAAGAAGTGCTAACAAAGCTGCAAAAACTGGGACTAGATAAATCGCCAAGTTGTTGAGTATAAAGCACGTGGCACGTGGTGCTTGACCCGATAATGTAAAAGATCACAAGAGATAAAGATAACATAACGGCGGATCTCCACATATAACAATAAACTTGTTCGTACAAATTTGTTCGACGTTTTCACGCTTATTCAAGTGAGTTAAAACCGAGTGTGGACCATCGAAAGGCTTTATTGCGCTTGTGCGCGACATAAGTTTTGCGCCTGGCGCCACCGCATCGAGCAATTTAATAGATCCCGGAAGACAGCGTCCTAGCTTACGTGTACTTTAATTTAAATAAGTTGTCCATTGGCTCGATACTTTGTGATGCATCTGAAATCAATCTGAAACCATACAGCATAAATGAACGGATAGACGCCAATTCTAGCAGATCCATGCTCGATAAAACTTGTTCATCAAGCATGTATCGGTGTGGAGACCCACTATAAGAATAAGAAAATAGATAGAATAGATATAATTTGTCCAAGCAATAGGTACTAGTAATGTAGACATGTGAACTAATCAAAACGACATGATGAGAGAAAGTTTAATATAATTCAAAAATAAAGTTGACATTGTCACAATTAGACAACAATTGTCAAAAATATATAGTTGCAAGTTCAAACAAATATTTTTAGCAAAATTTTAGAGTGAAATGAATAAAAGTCAATATAAAATTCATAAAAGTATTATAAACTATTATACGTTTAGTCATGATTTTGAGGTAAATCTGATACACACGTACCCATATATTATATCTTTTGAGATACATATGTGATCAAGCCATGGCTATTACTGAAATTCATAATGGTAAAGCCTTTGGAAAGCCAATTATTACAGGTACGGCGAACTGAAGAAAGAGTTTATATTTTATGTTTCATAAACATCATTATAGTCGGACAGTCGTCCGATGGTGTGATGATATCAATGATCGATATAAACAATAGTCTGACACTTGTTCGTTATTTGTGGACTGTTCGTTCTGGAAAGTGCTCATGTATTTGATTTATCAAAGCTTCAGTGCAAAGTAATACACAAAAACATAATCCTGTGTGATGTCTGTGCCAGGAATTTACGTGACGATCAGGTCAGGGTGGACTCTTTATATATCATTAGGTTATCATGTACATGCTTCGACCAAGTGGACTGTGGTCAATATAAACAAACGTTTTCTTTAGTCTGACCTCAGACTCAGTTCATAACTCTTATCGTCATATGGCTGGCTTACGCACATAAGATAGTAGATTCAATAAATGGAGTATGTTTGCGGATGTTAACATCAGTACTGACCGTTTAGTGGACGCGATAAATCCAATAGATTTAGAGGCTCGCGATTTAGGGTAAATATCGTGTAAGATGGTTGTAGTTCCTTGTTTCCTGTTGTTTTCAAAATGTTAATTAAACCTATATTTTGATCGTTCTCAGGGAGGGAGCGAACAAACCCGTCGTGGACAAGGCGACGAAGAGCGCCTGTACCGGACCAGAGGACCCAAATACGCTAGGGTTCCATCACGAACAACTTTGTCCGCGTCAACAACCTGCACCTCGTTAGCTACTTCTTGTGGCTCTCAGGGAACCCTTGTGCCAAATTACGCAGCGATTCCTGAAATCGTTTCCACGGAGAGTAGCAGCGAAGACGAGCAAGATTCCTTCGAAAAAACGCGACGCCATTTCCAACAATTGCGTCAGATCAGTCTAGGAAACGAGTTCAAATATAAAATGGAAATGGAAATCAAGAGCGCAAAAGATGAGAATCTGCGTAATTCTGTGCCATTCGTAAAACAATTAAGCACCGATAGCAATAAAGTTAAAACTGATTATACAATCAACGGAGACCGCCAACCATATAATGCTCCAGCCAAGAAGCGACTGTATCTCTTGACACAGGTAAGGATTCTTTAGAATATGTCTAAATAGTTGCATTGAACTCGCACTTAAGACCCATTGGTAACAATTCGATGAATGAAATTAATTGTAATTTTAAATTCAAACCAGTAATATTGATTGTAATTTACATTTGTGGAGTAAAACTGCACATTAATTTTTATAAAATTTTTTCGTAAAATCAAATACTGTGTGAGTAAGGAAGTAATAAACTGTGATTAATTGCTTTTGTTTCTAAGATATAATTTTTTTCTTCACAATTAATTCCTTTTTTATTATATCCATACGTATAAAACGTACGTCATATAAAATGTAATAATGTACTTTATTTTAAATTAGTTTATTCAAATTTCAACAAATTTTGTGTTATTTCCGCCAAAAATAATATAAGCTTTGAAAATCAGGCTATTAAAGCATTTAGTTCTTGTAGCTAAAATAGTAAATTCCTAGTGTTTTATGCAAACAATAACAAATATGAAGTTCAACATAGAAACTGTGTTTGTCGCGATTCTTATATATGCACTATGGGGTTAAAGAGAAAATCCACATTTATGGATAAATCAACAGGCGCAGTAAGGTACATATAGGGCCGTACCGCCCACTAAACTTCAGAGCTTTTCAAGTACATTTTCCGTAACTACGTCTAGTCGAAATGTTCGACAAAAAACTGAGAAATAAAAGATGTTTTTATTATTTGCCCTTAGTTAAAAGTTAGGTTTAAAAATTAAAGGGTTCAGTATGATAGCAGATTGTGAGCAGGTTCCCAGAGCTTTCCGTTTTGTAGAAGTATTCTGCATCCTAATGCAATGAGGGTCAGTAAATAAAGTTTTTAATTGGGCATTGTATTGTTTCAGATATTTGCGGCATTTGCTGTATCTATGGGATCCATGATAGTCGGTTTTTCTTCTGGCTACACGTCCCCAGCTCTACCGAGTATGAACGCAACTCTTATTATAGGAAAAGAGGAGGTAAATATATAATTTGTAAACTCTGATCATCATTTAGATCTTTCATATAATTTTTAGTAGATAAACAACGAATTTTCAAAATCCTATATAATATTTAAATAAATTACCTATAATATTTTTTAAGAGAAAACTTCTTTAGAATAGTTGTGATTTGAAACTCGATGAAACGAAAAAGCGACATTAAAAAGAGACAAGCATATAAATCTATAGGATTTAGCCTGCGAGAGAATGGGACAGTATACAGAATTTCCCATTATCGCGGTCTTCTTCTGAAGGTTTCACTTCTACTGCATGTGAACTGCACACATTTTTTTTTTAGTTTATACTGTGCTCTATGTTTTGAAAGAGATAATGAATGCTAAAGATTTCATTGACCTTGGCTTATTATTTATTATATAATATATACACATAAAAAGCAGTATAATAAGCAATATTAACTAGTATTTTTTCCTTTTTCAGAATAGTTGGATTGGCGGTATAATGCCTCTGGCTGCATTGGTGGGCGGTGTTTTGGGTGGTCCGCTTATCGAATCGATTGGAAGGAAGCTTACTATTATGGGCACCGCAATACCGTTTTTCATGGGATGGATGTTAATTGCGAATGCCAATGGAGTCGGTATGGTGTTGGCCGGGCGAGCTTTTTGCGGTTTATGTGTTGGAGTTGGAAGTCTCGCTTTTCCCGTATATCTTGGAGAAACGATTCAGCCAGAAGTTCGTGGTGCTCTTGGTCTACTTCCAACTGCGTTTGGTAATACGGGAATACTGTTGGCATTCCTTATTGGTGCATACATTGATTGGTCGAACTTGGCATTCTGTGGTGCAGCACTTTCTATTCCATTTTTCTTGTTAATGATTATGACGCCGGAGACACCACGCTGGTACGTTACAAAAGGACGCGCCGAAGACGCTCGTAAAGCTCTACAATGGCTGAGAGGTAAAAACGTCAATATTGAAAAGGAGATGCGGGATCTTACACGATCTCAAGCTGAATCTGATCTCGTCGGCGGCAATCTTTTCAGACAACTGTTTACGAAGAAATATATACCAGCAGTTCTCATCTCACTGGGACTTATGTTTTTCCAACAACTGAGCGGTATCAACGCAGTTATTTTCTACGCATCCGCCATCTTCAAATCAGCAGGCAGCACTATTGATGAAAACGTATCCTCTGTCATCATCGGAGTGGTCAATTTTGTGTCCACTTTCATTGCAACAGTACTTATTGACAGACTTGGAAGAAAAATGTTATTATACATTTCTTCTGTGGCAATGATTGTGACTTTAGTTACTTTGGGTTCGTATTACTACGTTCAGAAAGTCGGTGTAGACGTCAGCGCTTACGGGTGGTTGCCACTTGCTTGCCTTATGATATACGTACTGGGCTTCTCTATTGGTTTTGGACCCATCCCCTGGTTGATGCTTGGAGAAATTTTACCATCGAAAATCCGCGGGACTGCGGCATCGTTGGCAACAGGATTTAACTGGACCTGCACGTTCATTGTTACCAAAACATTCCTTAATATAACGGAAGTTATTCACATGCACGGCACCGTGTGGTTATTTTCTGTGATATGCCTTGTTGGGCTCTTCTTTGTTATTTTCTACGTACCTGAAACGCGCGGCAAAAGTCTGGAGGAGATTGAGAAAAAATTGACAGGCGGGTCACGCAGAATACGGAATATTAACGCCAACAAACAAATACAAAATGGCTGTTAATGTTATTTAAGAACGAGCGTGATTGAGCGTGGTTTATGTTTTATGGCAGGGAGCAGAAGGCTTCGTTGACCTAAAGGTCGTATGTGATATAGGTACAAAAAGAGAGAAGATGCATTGCTACACGCTCATGCGTACGTAGAAGACTGACTTGGATTGTAATCGTATATTTTGTACAGTTTAGAATAGTAACCGTAGCACTAGCACTTAATAGATAAGTAAATTACAGTTCCTTTAGACATAATATATGGCAAAAAAATTCACTTTTAAGCATAGGTTAAATTAAAAGTGATATACTATATATGTATTATGTAGATTGCAGAATCTCTATATCTATCTCTATCCGGTTCCATCAAAAAACCCAGTACGTTCTCTACAATTGTGTACAAATTTAACAAATATTATGTTGATACTTGTTTTAGATATTACATTGCTCCAATTTCATTGTATTTTATCTTGATTTATCTTACTTCGTTATTAGGATAACATAAAGAACATGACACTAATGTTAACTAATGTTTACCAAATTCATGCACTTTAAAACTCGATTAAAATTAATAGTTATGGCGCTATATACATGTAATAATTATAAGCATAGAATGTTACGAATATGTTTTCGTATATTACGGAAACATTATTTATTATATTTGTTACTATTTTCAATACAAAATATTTGAACTAATGCGTATTTAATTTATAATAATTTCCTTTTTTGCCCTAAAGTCTAATGAGTTGTCGCTATTGATATGGCAATTAAGTAAATGTACTCAATTACACGAAGATTTAATAGATCTTGATTGGGTAATGGTAGGATTTGCCTTAATTATGCCAAGAATTTTGTTCGAGCTCGCATTCTTTTTATAATAAAAACAAAAATATTAAATATAATTATTTTAATAAAGTCATGACAAGTAATGCAAAGACAAAATGTCTTTTCCTTTGTCTTAAATTTTGATTTTGGTATTTTGTAGTTTGGTATTTATGGTACACAGAGGTCGTACATACAACAAATAGTAAAATATAACAGTAATAAAAGCTGTAACTCTCTTGATTAAGTTATCTGCTTAAGGTTATCGACCGCAGTAATTAAGAGAAGCTATCTATGTGCAGGATTTATTACTCCGCCATAAATTTTTACACAAGGGCAAAGGCACCCATTATTGAACCAAAATAAAATATTTTTGAACCAACCTTTCTGATAAAAAAGCTAAAAACGGCGACCTTGAGGCATTCATGAAATGTTTCGAACACATCATTACAACCTATGACAAGTCTACAGCTGAACACAGGTATCTCACATAGATTGCTAAAAATCCTCGGCTAACCTTATCCATGTCATTAAAGTAGTAGGTCACTTGTGTAATAAAAATAACAATTATATAAAGCTATAACTCCATAGCCTCTCTTCCTCATCGGTAGTGATTTTTCTTCAAACTATAGTATATTATGTATAATACGATAATTAAAAAATATATAACAAGCGCGTTGCCTCTTTAGCGTAATAATGCATTAGTCGATGTCAGTTACTCTCAGATCGCAGACCTTTATTACAGAGATTATCATCTAGGGTAGGGCAAGTAGAGTACGTGCCCCGGGCGCCTTTCAAACGGGGGCGCGCAAAATTGCCAATTTTTAAATTTAAAAGTCAAAATAAATCATAATAAACCAATTCATATCAAACAATCCCGTTCGCGATTCCTGTGCCTCAATTCAAGCGAGAGGCAATGAGTAGTGCGCGCTGGCGGTGCACTTAGAATGAGATTAAGTTTCGTTTCCGAGTGGCGTTTAGCGCCAAGTTTGCGCCAACCTGGCTTTGTGTATACGTCAGAGAGGATATCTGTACTCGACACCTCGGCAGTCTTGAATGTACGGACCTGTTCATTCCTTGGCTATGCGTAGACAGCGATGACCATCCTCGCGTCTACAGGTGCTTTAACAGCGGTGATGATAACACAGACCGACTTATGCCCTCCGCAGATTGTGATTCTTGGCGATTTCAACACCCACCGCGCTGATGGCTCAGTTTACTCTTAACTGACACTGAGATCTGTTTATGACGTTGCCTTGGCCTATGGTCTGACACAACTGATTATTTTGCCTACGCGGATTCCAGATGTGAAGGATCATGCACCTTCCCTGTTCGACCTTCTGCTGACCTCTCATCCGGACGAATATCCGATCTCCATCGACGCCTTGGGGTCCTCGGAAGGTTGTCTGATCCAAATATCCTGAAGATATATTGACCCTTATCCAAAATATGAGAGACGATAGCGATCAAACCATTGAAACAAGAAATAAGGCCAGAATTCTTCATAATATACTCGTAGCTCCTTGAATTTATTGTGCAGTACGGGAATGAAAGCGTATTTCCGAATTTGCGCATTTCCATTCAAATTATGCTCACAACTGCAGTCTACATCGCAAATTGTGAGCGATCTATCAGTAAATCTTTATATATAAAAATTACGTGTCACATTGTTTGTCCGCGATAAACTCCTAAACTACTGAACTGATTTCAATGAAGATTTGCACACTGTGCGCAGTTTGGTCCAACTTGAGAGATAGGATAATTTTATCCCGATAAGTGACCCTCAATATTTTTTTTATAGAATTAGGGTGACAAACGAGCACACAGTCTACCTGATGGTAAGTGGTTGCTGTGGCCCATAGACATCTACATCTATCTTCGTAAAATAAAATGAGGATGCGTTGTCAGCCGTGAGGACTAAGATAGAATGCCTCTTTTCCAGTAAAAAGGGTCTCCGGTTCTCTACACTCACCATACGAAATACAGCAGCATTAAGCTGCTATTTTACGTTGGTGTTCTGTGAGAGCGTCGTCCTTCCCCGGTCGAGCCGACCCATTCGTGCTAGAACTATACTATTAATATAGCTGCAGCATGGCTCTACCACGTATAAAATTTATTACGATTTAAGGATTTTTATAGGACAAAGGATCGTCGGAGAGGGCAGAACAACGTCTGCCTGGCCAGCTAGTTTAAGTATAAATATTTTCGTATTTGCCGGCTACAATGGGTCAAGAAAGGGGTTACGCGACCTAGTTTTACTCAATGAGGAGCAAGAAGAAGCGAAAAAAAGTGATTTCGAAAACATCATCGATTTTAAATAAAACTATTTTTAGAAATTTTATCGCGTTTAATTTTCTTATTTTTTTTTAAATTGATGTTTATTCAATGTGTATTCGCATAAATATAAGAAATCATTACATCATCGATATGTTTGTATCGCAGAAGGCCAGGAATGTGCAATTGTAAGTGTGACGGTTTTACGGATTTACTTTCGCTATAAAACACAAAATAAATATGTTTTGTAAGATTTATGACTGTTTAATATATTAAGTGTATCTGGTTTCATAAATGAAATAATTTACAAAGGGGTGCAACTGTAATGAGTGCTCTAGGTGCCATTTTCGATTAGTTTAGCTCCTGGTTACTATTGCGCTAGTGCGGATATCACTGTTTTGGATTTTTGCATGAGCTATTTTTACATTCGTAGAGTGAATTAGGGCTTCCTTATGCGGCCGGTTGTGAAGGCCGTCCATATCGATTCCGTAAGTCGTCACTAGTAACACGCACAGGTTCTGCGTTTTGTTGAAGATTTTTAGGTATATCGAACAAGCATTATTTCTAGTAAACTACTTAGGGAAGGACGTAGAAGACTTTTCGTAGAGTATAGAGATAGCTACGTTTTAGGCAATTTAGTTAATTAAAATTCACACGCTTTAACAGCAATATGAAAATTGATTTCTATTTGTGACTGCTCAGTCAGAGCTTTGAATCACAAACCTATATAACCCAGGCCAGTTATAACCACGTGATAAACATTGGTTGACGTGTATGTTTATAGACATATTTAATTTTTTTACCCTTATTTCTGTGATAACCACTGACCTCTATATTATATACAAGATGATGACGCTAGCTAAAGTATATTTACACGCACGCCTCGGTGTGTAAGTGAGTGTAGCGCAACAACGAGCGTGTTGTTTTATAGGAACTCATTTTACTTTGAAGTTGAATTTAAATGCGCTTTAAGCATGCATGAGTTTACATGGTGGTTACCCTTGCTTTTTTGATGTTATTATAGTATCTAATGTTGTCGCACGAATGGGTCAGCTCAACTAGAGAAACAGAACACAGAACTCGTTTGTCACCTTGATTCTCTAAACTATACGCTGGTGCGTAGTACTCGTATCAAGTAGTACTAAGTAAGACATCTTTAAAGCGCCTGCTTTGGAATAACTTCCTAACACTGCAGTAGCTGATCTTTTCATTTATATAGCTAACTTCCTTCCACAAGAGAGTCACGAGGCCCGGTCCTGAGCCACCTGGACCCTTCCACTTTTTACATTTCTTACCAGGTCACTCCATCCCATGGGGAGCCGCCTTATACTTCGCTTACCGGTTCGAGGCTGCGCAAGAACCTTTCTTCCCTATCAGCAATTTCATATTATTTAATTTATATTAATATTTTTTAATTTATATTACTTTTATTTCGAAGTTAATTAATATTTACTCACTTTATTTTTATATTATTATGGATATATAACCTAAAAATAGGAGGCCACTTTGTCTACAAAAAGCTTAAGTAGGCCCTTGTGTAATGTATTTTGACATTTATAACTTTGTTATAAGTTTTTTCCTGGTTAAAAAATAACATAGCGCAGTTAGAGACAATATGATAACAGGCTAGTCACAAGATGACAAGAACAATTTGATAATTATAATTTTCTAGTGAGATCCAGAAACTATGTAAAGGCTTACAGGGTAATAAAATTGAAACGTAATAGAGAGAAGGTAAGTAATAGAGAAACTTGCTTAAGCTTACAATTGCTAAACGGGCTTTTGTAGTCATTTTGGAAAAAAAATCTTAGGTACTATACTAATTGAATGTGCGGTTTGACACTCGCCTTCAGCAAGAATTTTTAAGCATACGTTCCGAGGCGTCTTAAAATGCAGTTTTGCCAATGGCAACATTAGGTAT